AGGAAACACCATAGGGCTTTATGATCTCTACTTGGTGTGTAAATTCCAGGGGCGGTGTTTGGTCCCTGCTGTGAGTCCCAGAGTGGAGCATAGAAGGACATGTGGTAGATGCTCAATAAATGTTAGACCAACAGAGGAAAAGGACCAGTGGATAAAGCAGGGGGAGAGAGGCCATTCCCGGGCTTTCCCTACAGAGACATTGCCACCATGGATGACGAGGGCTTCTGCAAAATCGTGGGGCGCTCAAAAGACATGATCATCCGGGGCGGCGAGAACATCTACCCTGCGGAGCTGGAGGACTTCTTCCACACGCACCCGCAGGTGCAGGAGGTGCAGGTGAGGCACCGGCCTGGGCAGCGCGGGCGTGGGAAGGTGACGGCTGACGTCTGATGCTCCCCTCTTGGCCCCCGGAGGTGGTGGGCGTGAAGGACCAGAGGATGGGGGAGGAAATCTGTGCCTGCATCCGGCTGAAGAGCGGGGAGACCACCACGGAGGAGGAGATCAAAGCTTTCTGCAAAGGAAAGGTGGGTGAGGAGCACTGCCCCGGGGGCCCCAGCCCTGCCTCCCCTTCCAACCTCGCCCAGCCTCATGCTTTCCCCTCTGCCCCGCAGATCTCTCACTTCAAGATTCCCCGCTACATCGTGTTTGTGGCTGACTACCCCCTCACCATCTCAGGAAAGGTGTGTAAGGCGCCCAGGGTGGCCTTGAACTTGGGATCCTCCTGTCTCAGCCTCCCCAGTGCTGGGATGGCAGGCATGTACCACCATGCTCAGTTTTGCCTGGACTTTTTTGATCTTAGCACTAAAAGCCTGAGCGATCCCCCTGCCTCCGGACCCAGGCACACTGCCATGTTCAGATACCTGGTGTGCTCAGGGCTCTGGTCTGACTGTCCTTTGTCCTTCCTCTAGATCCAGAAATACAAACTCCGAGAGCGGATGGAACAGCACCTGAAACTGTGAATCTGAGCAAGGATCCTCCCTGGCCTGCCTCATCCTGCCCGTGTCCCTGTGGTCTTGGTGACTGGGCACAAATCTCCACATGCCCAGGCTTCGCTGGGGTGTTCTGTCAGCAGCTGACAGGGTGGAGAAGGACGAGACCTGTGCGACAGTGCCCCGTCATACTTCGTTGTGCTTCTGCTACTTACTGGAACCCTCGCCCCACCCCTTTGCGTTCCAGCCTCATTCTTTGCTTTCGCAGGCCTTGCTTACTTAATTCTTTCCCCTACTGTTAAGCCAGAAATATTCTGTTTTAAAATAACACCGTCACTGAGATATAATTCACAGACTATAATTTACCCATTTAAAAAAATTTTTTAAAGACAGTGTCTCATGGAATTGTCTAGGCTGGCCTTGAACTTGAGATCTTCCTGCCTCAGCCTTCTGAGGAGCTAACATTACAGGCAAGCATCAGTGGACCTGGCTCATCTTGCCCATTTAAAGTGGCCAATTTTCCAGTGATTTTTTTTTTTTTTTTTTTTTTTTGTACCAGAATCAAACTCAGGACCTTGTGCTTGCCAGGCAAGCAATGTGCCACTGAGCTATATTCTCAGCCAAAGCCAGTTTCAACAATTAAAAAAAAAAAGCCCTACACCTTTTAATTATTACGCTCTTCCCAGTTGGCTCAAGTTTTATTTTATTTTATTTTTTGATCAATAAACCTGGGGCAGAGCCAGATAAAGCAGGCTGTATTTGGACTCAAAAAATAAAAACCAGCCAGTGTTCACGAGGCGCACGGGCATGGTTACTGTGTGCCGGCCTTTGCAATGACGAATATTGCAAAACAGTCGATTCAAGAGCCGCTTAGTGGATTAAAGGGAAAGCTTCCCACAGAACTGAAACTCTGCCCCTGGGATCTGGAGTTTGTCTCCCTTCCTGCCCGCGGAACCTGGTGCCAAGGCCAGCTAGATGTGCTACCCGCCAGCTCCAACATTCCCAAGTGCCTGGAGTGGGCAGCCGTGAGAGTCGGCCCTAACGAAAACCAGACGTAGATCAACAGAAGTTTTTTGCTGATCCCTTTATGTTTTTAGGTTCACAGGGTTGGAGTACTCACTGGCCTTCACAAAAGCAAGATTAATATGCAGTCTTATACGCATATTATATGTGTCTGATAAACGCATCCCTTCTCTGGAGAAACTACATAAAAGGCTTCCGCTTTGGGGACCTGGGGAGGGTGCCTAACAGGGGCTTGTGCTTAATAAAGGTCTTTCATTTCTGTTTCTGGGGTCAAGCTCATTCTCAAATTCACTCCCAGAAGGTAAATTTGGGGGAAATCTGGGGTGAAGAAGGGGGTGACTTAGGGTCAGGCTGTGGTAAGCGGGGGTGCATGTATAATCGGCCTTCCTGGCTCATGGGGCGCACGTTTGGAGGACAGAGGCCTTCGTGGGATGTGAGGTGGTGTTTTGTTCAGCACCCAGTATCAAAAGGGGGTCACCCAGGGCTGGGGAGATAGCTCAGCGGCTTAAGTGCCTGCCTGGCAAGTCACCCAGCTGATGCTGGCTCAGCCCATGGGCAGTCACTGGTTTCAAGAGTGGCTTTCAGGACCCTGAAAAGTGACCTTCAGAGATGTCACTATAACAAAGCTAGAGGGGGACTAAATGCTCAGCCATGTGACCTCTGCCCGGTGGTTTTCGTGTGTGTGTGTGCGTGTGTGTGTCTATAAAACTCCTGGGTTTAAGCATCCCTGCTTCAGCACCCTAAGTAGGAATGGGGCAGCAGGAATGTGCCAACACGGTGCTTCAAAACTGGTGATTTCTAAAACCCCCTTATGTGGGCATGGTGGCGCGCAGGCCTGGAATCCCAGCATTCAGGAGGCTGAGGCAGGAGGACTGCGGAGAGTTCAAGGCTACAAAGTGAGAACTTGTCTCAGAGCAAGGAAAAGCAAGTAAGTAAAAGCCAGCAACACAAGAGGATCGATCAGGTTTTCCCTCGGTGTCTGTTCCTAGTCTGCAGAAACTTCTTACCCCTGCGACTCTTACTGTTACCAATTTTGACTCCAGCTGGTCCTTTTTTCCTCTTGGAAGCGTGAGTCAGTAAGTGCAATCAAGCAGCGCCGCAGACAGGCCGGTAATCCAGCCGCCTGGGAGGCTGCCACGGGCTCGCACTGTCACCAACCTTGCAAGCAGGTGTGCTATTACAGATGAGCAGCCAGGGGCAGCAGGAGCCTGGGGTTAATTTCCAGCTGGTCCGCCAAGGCTGCCTTGTGTGGATGGAGTCTCATCTGTGTGTGCCCACTCGCTCCTAGGCTGAAGGGTCCTGGAATCCAGCCCACCCTGGCCAGCGTAGCTCGGGGCATGTTACCTGTCGGGCTAAGACACTGACAGACATATCCAGGGAACCTGGAACAGAGCCTGACTGTCCCGACTAGGGCCTTCTTACGCTATTGCACTTTGGCACCTTCTGCAGTTACTCTGAGTTCCAAGCCAGAAAGGGGTGTGAGAACCAGGGCTGTCCCAGGCCACCAGGTGAACTGTCCTGCACTGTCAGACTGTGTGTGTGTTTGTGTGTGTGTGTTCTGGGGACTGGCCCCAGAACCTTCACACTGAGCATACCCCAGTCCTTTTCATTTTCATATCTTGAGCTAGTCATGCTATGTCGCCCCGGCTGGCCTTGAACTTGCAATCCTCCTGCCTCAGCCTCCCAGATGCTAGGATTACTGGTGTGCACGCCATGCTGGCCAACTCTTCTCTCCCTTTCTCTCTTGTTTTGTGTTGTTTTGGGAACAGGGGATTGAACTCAGGCCCTTGTGCTTGCTAGGGAAGAGCTTATTCCACTGAGCCATCTCCCCAGTCCCCTCTCTTGTCTTTATGAAACATGGTCTTGTTACAATTCAGGTTGGCCTTGAGCTCACTTTGTCGCCCAGGCTGGTCTCTGAACTCACAGTGATCCTCATGCCTCAGTCTCCCAAGTGCTGGGATTACAGTCATCACACCTGGCTCTCTATTGTTTTGAATTGAATATATAGCCCAGACTGGCCTTAAATTTGGCAATCCTCCTGCATCAGCCTCCTGTGTGACTGGGATTACAGTCACACACCGCACCCCGTGTTCCCTCCTCTCTGGGGGGCAGCTCTTCAGAGGCTGCTTCCCATGCACCAGCCCCTCCTGCACACACCAACTCTGACTCCTCCCAGTATGCACCTCGGTTGGTCTGGCCTGGAAATCTAGCCAATTCCCTTAAGAATTTTCCATTCCTTCTAGATCCAGCCGCAAACCAGGCAGGGTGGCAAATATTCTGGAAGGCTGAGGCAAGACGATTATAAGTTTGAACCCAGCCTGGGTATTTTAGCAAGGCACTGTTTCAAAAACAAATTAAAAAGGACTGGCTTGTAGTTCAGTGTGAAGGCTCTGGGTTCAATCCCTATTATGCAAAAATGATTGCATGAATGGATGAAAAAAATAAATAAATAAAATTGAAATGTAAAATTCAGCCCACCCTCAACATGGCTTTTGGAAGAGATCGCTTCCCAGCCCTGGCCTGGGGCCCAGAAAACACCGAATTAATGCCTCCCTGTTCTGACTTGTTTGCCTTTGGGCCGTCAGACAGCGACCCGATCTGACGCATCTCGTGGTCCCCGGGGGCCCAGCTCCGAGCAAGCCACAGAGAATGTGAAGGACGGTACTGGCGGCGCCATGCGCTCCTAAGGGAACAAACAAGCCCTGCACGGGGTGCCCAAGTGCTGGACCGCAGCCGACCAAGTCCTAGGAAGACAGCGCGGCTGCGGTGAGCGCACCGGCGTCCGGCAGGTGGCGCCGCAGACCCGGGCCCCTGTCACTCGCTCCGCCTCGCCTCTTCCTTCCGCCGGGGATCAGCGCGGCCTCTCCGCGCACACAGTGCGCCCGGGGCGCCGACCGGCTCGGGACCCTGCCGGGCTGGGCGCCATGGTCCTTCCTGGGCCCCGGGCCCGCGGCCTGGTGGCAGCTGCCAGAGCCGCCCAGGGGCGCCGGCTTGAGGACAGCGAGCCTAGGTCCCCAAGTGCAGACCCAGCCAGCAGGCGCGCGGCGCTCTACGTGCACGTGAGTGGGCGGGGAGGGGGCGGAGCCACGGCGCGCGGAACCCAGGTGGTCGTAGTGGCGCTCGGCCCTGGTGCTCCGGTCTTTTTCCTTTCTTTCTTCTTTTCATTTTGTTTGGGTACATTTTAGATATACCTAATAACATTCATCATAGGGAGTTTTTACCTGTACTTGATATATCTTGATTCCTCTTCCCCCCGCCCCCCGTTTCCGATGCCCGGGTCTTGATCCAGGGACCTAATGTCTCTGATACATACCAGCGCAGCGACCTGAACCAAGTGACTTCCTTTCTGAGCCTGTTTCAACTTTTCTTTTTCTTAGACAGAGTCTCGCGATGTAGTTCAGGCTGGCCTTAGGCTCACTGTGTAGCCCAGGCTGGCTTGGCACTCGCGATGATCCTCCTGTCTCAGCCTCCCGAGGGCTGGGCCGTCAGGGATGCGCCCCCACGCCCCGCCTGAGCCAGTTTCTCATACAGAAGCAGGCAAAGTAACTGCAGCGCCACCTACTTGGGGAATAGACTGGCTTAGATTTCGCAACCGCTGTTGATGTTGACCGGCCTCGGGATGGGGATGGCATAGCGTGCTACGTACGAACCCTGGAAGTGGCTGGGCTGCCCGGGGCCGCTCTCTCCCCAGTACTTTCCTTGTCCCCTGTCCCCAGTGGCCATACTGTGAGAAGCGCTGTAGCTATTGCAACTTCAACAAGTACGTGGCGCGCGGCCGTGTGGATGAGGCGGCACTGCGGCGCTGCTTGCTGACTGAAGCCCGCACGCTGCTTGGGCTCAGCGGAGTGCGCAGGTGCGTCCTGGGATCTAGCACGCGCCAGGCAGGTGCGGTGGGCATTCCCAGCCTCTTGCGAGTCAGGGCTCACCTTCTCCATCCTCTTCCCCACAGGGTGGAGTCTGTGTTCTTTGGCGGGGGCACCCCCAGCCTGGCCAGTCCCCACACTGTGGCAGCCCTGCTGGAGGCCGTGGTGCAGGCGGCCCACCTGCCTGCTGATGTGGAAGTCACTTTGGAAGCGAATCCCACTTCGGCCCCAGGCGCCAGGCTGGCGGAGTTTGGGGTGGCAGGAGTCAACAGATTGTCTATTGGCCTCCAGGTAGTCCTCTCATCCCTCATCCCAATAACTCCAGCCTTCAGGGCTGTCTCCCCTAATGTGGCATTTGTTCCGTGGGTCTTTACTTTTGGTTCTTTGAGACAGTCTGGTTATGTAGTTTAGGTTTTATTTTATTTCTTTGGTTTGTTTGTTTTGAGACTGGGTCTCTCTATGCAGTACAGATTAGTCTTGAACTCACTGTGTAGCCCAGGCTAGACCCAAACTTGTGGCAATCCTCTTGCCTCAGTCCTTGGAATGCTGAGATTACAGGCATGAGACACCAGGCCCGGCAGGCTATGTACATTAAGCTGGCCTTGAACTCACTAGGTGGCCCAGGGTACCCTGGAACTGACTGCCATTCCCCTGCCTCAGCCTTTTGAAGGCTGGGGTCACAAGTGTGTGCTACCACGCCTGGTTCCACATGTTTTGTTTTGTTTTGTTTTTTATTTTTAGTTTTGAGACATGGTCTGGTTAAGTCACTAAATTGCCTGGGTTGATCTTCAACTTTTAACCCTCTTGTCTCAGCTTCCCAGAGTGCTGGGATTACAGGTACACACCCCACACCTGGCTGAAAGGATCTGTTAGGGTGAAGACCCACAGGGGGTGGGTAGGTGATCAGATCACGGCAAATGGTAAATGCTGCCTGTAGAGCGGTCTCTCAAGAAGCTTTCAGAGTCCAGCGTGAAGGGCAGTTCAGTCTGACGAAGTCCTGGAAGGCCTCTTAGAGCAGGTGAAACCTGAATGAGAGGGGGAAGGGATTCACAGGCGAGAGATGTGGGAAGAAAAGACGGGATGTGGAAGAGACTTGTGTGTTTGGGGATAACTGTGAGTTATTCCTTGTGACATAAGAGGGGAGATACAAGGCTGCCAAGCAGGGCCTGAAGGCCATTAGCACCTACTGAGGTCTTTGGAATTTCTCCTTATAGGTAGGGGAGCCATGGAAGATTAACTAGAGAGAAAGGTAGACTTCAGAGACTTCCATATCCAGGGCTGTCCACTTCCTAAGACTGTCACTAGGAGATGTCCTTATCTTAGGAAGTACTTCAGTATTTAGACCTGGAGGGGTACGTATGCCTCAGTGTGCCGCATCTTATGGGGTTCTGGTCATAGCTTCGTCCTGATAGGCCAGACCACAAGGGACCCATCCTTTCTAAGATTCATCAGGCCCAAAATGCTTATCTTGAAACTAAATGTGAGGAAACATCAGGTAAAGAAGTGAAGAGCTCCTACAGGCTGGGGCTGTAGCTTAGTGGTAGAGCGCTAGGCTAGCATGTGCAAGATCCTGGCTCCAGCCCCCAGCACAGGGAGAGAGGTGTTAACTATCACCCCAATGTCAGCAGTCAATGTCGGATACTTACTCGTTAAGAGACATTTTCAGAAACTGGCCTATACTCTGAAAAAGTCAGTGACATAAAAGACAAAGAAAAGCCAGAGAATCTGGAATAGATTAAAGGAGACGACAGTGACAGTGACAGCTGAATGTAACATATGACCCCTGGTTGGGGAGGAAGGAGGAAATTAATTACAACAGGTGACATTATTGGGACACTGGCCATGTGGATATGACTGTGTATGAGATAATGGTGTCATATTGGTGTTATACTTCCTGAACACTGTAATTGGGTTGGATTATGTAAGAGATGCCTTTGTCCTTAGGAAATATTTTATTCGGCATTTAGGTGTTGAGGGGTAGAATATCTATAATCCTGCTGTCCAGTACAGTAGGTGGCAGCTGAGTGCCATGTGCCCTTAAATTCAGCTGTTTAAATTTGATTAATTTGTGAGCTGGGTGTGGTGGTGTATACCTATAACCCCAGCTCTCGGCAGGCTGAGACAGGAGTTTTATGGCAATTACATATTGAGACCCTGTCACAACAAATAAACCAATGAACAGAGACTACTGAAAGCCAAGCAGGGTGGTTCAGGCCTGTCAGCCTAGTACTTTTAGAGGCCAAAGCAGGAAGATCTCGGTTCAAACCCACCCTGGGTAATTTAATGATGTAGTGAGATTCTGTCTCAAAGTAAAACATAAAAAAAAAAAAAAAAGGGCTGGATATGTGACTCATTGTGAAGTCCCTGGGCTTAATCCTCAGTACTGCAAGAAGGAAAGAAGAAAAGGAGCTAATGCCATTGGAGGATATGAGGATTACATTCACTTTTCAGTGAAAAGCGGCTCTGTCTGGGCTTTCCCCACCCCTCCAGCTCCTTGCCCTTTTCTATGCGAGGGGAGGGGTCCCTGAGTCCCCTGTCAGGGGTTCGGGTCTGGATACTCCCCCTTTCTCCGCAGTCCCTGAACGACCAGGAGCTGCAGCTACTGGGCCGCACGCACTCGGCCCTGGACGCCCTGCGGACTCTGGCAGCCGCACGGCGCCTTTTTCCCGGCCGTGTGTCTGTGGACCTGATGTTCGGGCTGCCCGGGCAGCAGCTGGGGCCGTGGCTCGTGCAGCTGCAGGAGCTGCTGCGCCACTGCGATGACCACCTGTCCCTGTACCAGCTGTCCCTGGAGCGTGGCACAGCGCTCTTCGCCCAGGTGCAGCAAGGCGCCGTCCCCTGCCCCGACCCTGAGCTGGCGGCAGCGATGTATGCGGAGGGGCGCGCGCTGCTGCGGGCCGCCGGCTTCCGCCAGTACGAGGTCTCCAACTTCGCGCGCCACGTGAGTGGGGAGGCTGCGGGTGAACCTGCCCCCCCCCCAAGAAGTCTTGCTGGGCACCCCCTGCCTCCGTACTCACTGTCCCTCCTTCCCCACAGGGGGCGCTCAGCACCCACAATTGGACCTACTGGCAGTGCGGTCAGTACCTTGGTGTGGGCCCTGGTGAGTCCCCTGCGAGTAACATGATAGGTGACCCAGGAGAGGAATGTCCCAGCGTGAACGAGGGCCACCCGGGTAGCTCTCCCAGCCTGTATTTCCTCAAACCTAGAATGCAGCCAAAGAATTCCCGCCAGGTGGAACAGTGGCGTGTGCATGCGTGGTGCTTGTAGTCCTGCAGGGGCTCAGGGCTTCTGGGTCTTTTGTGTGCATCGGTACCCCCTAGGGAGCTTGTTAAAACCCGGAATAGTGGGGCGGCCGCCCACTGCATTGCTGCTGGGCCAGGGTTGGAGTAGGGCCTGCGAATTCCCACTGCCAGCCCAGAGATGCTGGTCCCCAGACCGCAGGGGGAAAACCAACCTTGGGTCCGAGTCCGTGAGTGCGCAGTGTTCACTCTTGTGATGGCTGTCATTATCAGGTGCTCACGGGCGATTCGTGCCCCATGGGGCCGGGGGCCACACCCGGGAGGCTCGAATCCAAACCCTGGAGCCTGACAACTGGATGAAGGAGGTGACACTGTTCGGTCACGGCACCCGGAAGCGCGTCCCCCTGGATGAGTTGGAGCTGTGAGCACCTGATAATCAGGGTCTCTTGTGTCCCAGAAACACTTCCACCCAACCTTTTAGTTTCCTGCCAGGCCTCCCAACCCCCAGGACCTGCCCCATACTGCAGGATCCCCGTTAACATAGCCCAGCATCCGGTTGGAAGAACGGGAGAGGTAGGGTCTCGTCTCCAAGGCTGATTTTTCTTTCAGGCTGGAGGAGGTTTTGGCCATGGGGCTCCGCACCGATGTGGGGATCACGCATCAGGTAAGAAAAGACCGTTTGCACCTCCTGAGTCTTGCAGGGCAATCAATCATGCTCTCACGTGCCCCACCGCATGCAGGCACGTGCGCAAGCGCACGGAGGCACACATGCCTTTTGTATTCCTGGAAGTTGGGCCTTGGTCCAGCTACCTGCTGTACGGAATCTGCAGGTGGTGTGGGGCAATGATGAGAACCTAGACCAGGGCTGCAGAGACCCAGTTCTGGTCCCAGTTCTTTCTTTCTTTTTTTTTAAGTTCAAATCATTGCAATTTTATTTAGAAATTTGCAGAGCTGAAGGAGGGATCTGGTCTTTTGTTAAAAGAAAAAAATTTTCACATCATATATTTAGCCACTTTAGCTTCTGTATAACAGCAAAGGCAATTTCTCTTCGAGACCTCTGGTCCCAGTTCTGCTGCAGTGTTGGACTCAGATCCTTTGACAGCTCTGCGCCTTGGGTTTCTCTGCTGGGCGAAGGAATAGATTCCAGAAAGGGCTTCCCTTGTGCTAAGCGGCACCAAAGCCTCTGCTGGGAAGCTCAGTGGATAATTTGATCAGAGTTCGAGCCCCCGTGGGTGAAGTCATGCAGTGCAGGGGCAGCTGTGGCTGGGCCGTGCCCTGCTGGGTGGATGGAGAAGGGGTGATGGTCGGAGGCACAGAGACGACCTGGTTGTGCCACGTGGGTAAAAGTGCCCATCTCCCCGCTGGCCCACAAAGCTGTCCTGATGTGTCTGAGCATCCCGTGACCCCTTCTCTGGACCCCGAATACTCATCACCTCTGTCTCCTGCCTTTCCAGCACTGGCAGCAGTTTGAGCCCCAACTAAACCTGTGGGACGTGTTCGGAGCAAGTGAGGAGGTGAAGGGGCTACAGGAGCAGGGTCTGCTGCTGCTGGATGACAGGTGAGTTGTGGGCTTAGGGACCCCCCATGAACTCTGACCTACAGGTGCCCAGGCTGGAGTTGAAGTTAGTGAGACAGAGGAGTCACACCAGATCTCTCCGGTTCCAGGGGCCTCCGGTGTTCCTGGGAGGGCCTGGCCGTGCTGGACTTCCTGTTGCTGACCCTTCTGCCCCGACTCCAAGAGGCCTGGCAGAAGCAGAGAAGCCCCCCACCGGTGCCAGGAGGATGACCAGCTGTTCCTGCATCCCAGGACAGTGCCAGGTGGACACACT